TGAAGGCCTGATTCACACAGTCCCCTCTGAGCAGTTGATGTTGAGATGTGTCTGTTACTTGAACTCTGTGAAGCATTTATTTGAGCTGCAATTTCTGAGGCTGGTAACTCTAATGAACTTATCCTCTGCAGCAGAGGTAACTCTGGGTCTTCCATTCCTGTTTCATCATAGCGCTTGAAGGTTTTTGCGACTGCACTTGAAGAAACGTTCTTGAAATTTTCCGTATTGACTGGCCTTCATGTCTTAAAGGCTCTGTCGTAGCCGGCCGCAACCGGGAGACCCATGGGGCGGCGCACAATTGGCCCAGCGTCGTCCAGGGTAGGGGAGGGAATGGCCGGCAGGGATGTAGCTCAGTTGGTAGAGCATGGCGTTTGCAACGCCAGGGTTGTGGGTTCGATTCCCACGGGGGTATGAAAAAATAAAATAAAAATAAAAAAATAATAATGTATGCACTCACTAACTGTAAGTCGCTCTGGATAAGAGTGTCTGCTAAATGACTAAAATGTAAATGTAAATGTAAAATGTAAAGTAATTATGGACTGTCGTTTCTCTTTGTTTTTTTTGAGGTGTTCTTGCCATAATATGGACTTGGTCTTTTACCAAATAGGACTATCTTCTGTATACCCCCCCCTACCTTGTCACAACACAACTGATTGGCTCAAACGCATTAAGAAGAAAATAAATTCTACAAATTAACTTTTAAGAAGGCACACCTGTTCATTGAAATGCATTCCAGGTGACTACCTCATGAAGACAGTTAAGAGAATGCCAAGAGTGTGCAAAGCTGTCATCAAGGCAGAGGGACTATAATATATTTTGATTTGTTTAACACTTTTTTGGTTACTACATGATTCCATATGTGTTATTTCATAGTTTTGATGTCTTCACTATTATTCTACAATGTAAAAAAATGCAAAAATAACACATATGGTGTGTTTGGGGTCGTTATCATGTTGGAATAGTCTCCGAAGGGAGGGGATCATGCTCTGCTTCAGTATGTCACAGTACATGTTGGCATTCATGGTTCCCTCAATGAACTGTAGCTCCCAGACCATGACACTCCCACCACCATGCTTGACTGTAGGCAAGACACACTTGTCTTTGTACTCCTCACCTGGTTGCCGCCACACACGCTTGACACCATCTGAACCAAATAAGTTTATCTTGGTCTCATCAGACCACAGGACATGGTTCCAGTAATCCATGTCCTTAGTCTGCTTGTCTTCAGCAAACTGTTTGCGGGCTTTCTTGTGTATCATCTTTAGAAGAGGCTTCCTTCTGGGACGACAGCCATGCAGACCAATTTGATGCAGTGTGCGGCATATGGTCTGAGCACTGACAGGCTGACCCCCCACCCCTTCAACCTCTGCAGTAATGCTGGCAACACTCATACGTCTGTTTCCCAAAGACAACCTCTGGATATGACGCTGAGCACGTGCACTCAACTTCTTTGGTCGACCATGGCGAGGCCTGTTCTGAGTGGAAACTGTCCTGTTAAACCGCTGTATGGTCTTGGCCACCGTGCTGCAGCTCAGTTTCAGGGTCTTGGAAATCTTCTTATAGCCCAGGCCATCTTTATGTAGAGCAACAATAATTTTTTTCAGATCCTCAGAGAGTTCTTTGCCATGACGTGCCATGTTGAACTTCCAGTGACCAGTATGAGGGAGTGTGAGAGCGATGACACCAAATTTAACACACCTGCTCCCCATTCACACCTGAGACCTTGTAACACTAATGAGTCACATGACACCGGGGAGGAAAAATGGCTAATTGGGCCCAATTTGGACATTTTCACTTAGGGGTGTACTCACTTTTGTTGCCAGCGGTTTAGACATTAATGGCTGTGTGTTCAGTTATTTTGAGGGGACAGCAAATGTACACTGTTATACAAGCTGTACACTCACTACTTTACATTGTCGCAAAGTGTAATTTCTTCAGTGTTGTCACATGAAAAGATATACTCAAATATTTACAAAAATGTGAGGGGTGTACTCACTTTTGTGAGATACTGTATGTATAAATATAACATTCTATTGGTTGCAAGAATTTTGTATAATAATTTAAATTGAAAAACTCAATTTCATTGTGCCATGGAATCGGTACATCAGAAATGTCTTCCCAAAGTATTATGCAATCTGTATGGCACAGCTGTCAATTTTTTGGTCCTTAAATCAAACTGGTATACTTTTTTATTTATCACAATTTTTTTTAATCAATTTTGGTCTTTAATACAGGGCCGACAGACAAGTTCCTTACTTTATCCCCCTACCACTTGCCTCTTCCATTTTTGCGTTAATGTTGCAATTAGTTGGTTGTAATTTTGGATAGAGCAGACATTTCTGTATATTTTTGTTAACTGCATGGGTGACATAACTCCACCAGTCCTATTTAAGATATAATTTACAAAGATTATACCATTTTTTAAACATTGTTTACAAAAATAATGTTTTTTTTATCATGTGTCAAACTTGACCAAACTTGGAGTGAAAGTTGTAGAGTTTGTGATTAACTCAGTTACAATGGTTTCTATGCTGCTGATCTATGTTTTATTTCTCATTCTTCATGTCATATGTCTCGCTTTATACTCACATCTCCTTGTAGTACAATGGGAAAACACTTCCTTACCTTCTATATCTCGCCCTCTGCCAAAACACTCAACACACACCTGTAAGGTCCCAATTGCTAACCTGAATTCCGTTTCCATACACCTGAGTGACCTGGTAAAGGCAGAGCTCTGGAGTTTCAATAGAGCCGAGTATCTCCCACACGGTTATGTCATAATACTGTTATCATATTATGAACTATCTACAGAATGAAGAGGGGTTTGAAGTTGACAGGCCTGGCTGACAGATATAAATGGAAGTCAAACCGAATGTTTACAAGTCGTCAGACAAATGTATTTAAATGTAAACAGTATATGGAGTAGGTGGCCATTGTGTTGTTTTCTATGCTTCCATCTCCATTGATTTAGCATTTTGTCTGAAGTCAGCACTTTCTCAGGGACACGTACGGATCTAGGCAGCCTGGAAAGGGAAACAGACAATGAGGAGGGGGTAACAGAATGAGGAGGAGGTAACAGAATGAGGAGAAGGTAACAGAATGAGAGGGGGGTAACAGAATGAGGAGGAGGTAACGGAATGAGAAGGGGGTAACAGAATGAGAAGGGGGTATCGGAATGAGAAGGGATAACAGAATGAGGAGGGGGTAACAGAATGATGAGGGGGATAACAAATGAGAGGAGGTAACAGAATGAGGAGGGGGTAAGAGGAATGCGAAGGGGGTAAAAAGACCATGAGGAGGGATAACAGAATGAAGGGGGAGGTATGATAATGCAGGGGGTACAGAATGAGGAGGGAGTAACAGAATGAGGAAGGGGTAAGAGAATGAGAAGGGGGTAAGAGAATGAGGAGGGGGTAACAGAATGAGGAGGAGGTAACAGCATGAGGAGGGGGTAACATAATGAGGAGGGGGTAACGGAATGAGGAGGGGGTAACGGAATGAGGAGGGGGTAACAGAATGATGAGGGGGTAACGGAATGAGGAGAGGGTAACAGTATGAGAAGGGGGTAACAGAATGAGGAGGGGGTAACAGAATGAGGACGGGGTAACAGAATGAGGAGGAGGTAATAGAATGAGAAGGGGGTAACATAATGAGGAGGTGGTAACGGAATGAGAAGGGGGTAACAGAATAAGAAGGGGGTAACAGAATGAGAAGGGGGTAACGGAATGAGAAGGGGCTAATGGAATGAGAAGGGGGTAACAGAATGAGGAGGGGGTAACAGAATGAGGGCGTAAGAGAATGAAGAGGGGGTAACAGAATGTGGAGATGTCAAAGACTTCTACTTTGTGCGAGTTTAAGTATTTTCCGCATCATTGAGCTTCATTTACATAAATGCACATATAATTGATATTCAGTGTGCATGTTTAGTTTGATGGCAAGAGGAGAGTGACTGCAAGCCAGGGTGACTTCTCTCAAACTTACATGAAGCATTTCCCAGGTCGAATAGCCCAGCTATAAAAGGTTCATTCATTTATTTCATTTAAAGCACATAGGGAAATGAAGCACCTCCCTTGGAGGCTGGTAAAGGAAAGGAGGCCCTCACCTTAGGCAACACTTCTCCCCCACACTCTCATTAGGGTGATGATGCGGGAGGGACTACTTCTCTTTGCCCTAGTCGTCAAGGTTAGAGACCATATGAAAGAAAAAAAAAACAGGTGATTTTCAAAGGGGACATAAAAAATGTAACTATAGCTGTGAGAAGCCACCAGGATACTGTAGCCTACAGTATGTCTCAACACCAGGATACTGTAACCTAATGTATGTCTCAACACCAGGATAATGTAACCTAATGTATGTCTCAACACCAGGATAATGTAACCTAATGTATGTCTCAACACCAGGATAATGTAACCTACTATATGTCTCAACACCAGGATACTGTGACCTACTGTATGAATAGTGAAGACCATTAGTTCTGTTGGGGGGGACTTTACCCATTATGGGAATGATAGCTACATTTCAGTGGAGTTAATTAATGTAACATTGGGTAATTGCTCTGGTGAATTGGTATGTTGGCCGCAGCTTACCAAAACAACAGACCTGACTGAGCTGCCATGCGTGTCATGGGTATGCCAACAACAGACTGCACGTTGGTTAGAATTCAAATGGAAAGAAGGAAAACACTGTAGGATATGTCAGTGTGTACTGTAAATTGCAGAGTGCTAATATGCATGCAGAGCTACAGGGTGTAGAGAATGTAATCAGTTAATTGGCCTCTTGTGTCAGTGTAGTATTTGTCCTCTCTCATGTCAACACTGTGGGCCAAATTTGTTGCCTAAGACTACTGTATGTATAATGAAATGGTTTGGCACATAATTGAGTATAGTTTCATACAACTTATCATTTGTCCTCAGTAATTCTCCTCTGTATTGCTTTTACCATTCAGACATTGTTGTCAGCAGCAAGGTAAAACTAGAACAGTTGTGCTCTTTCACTCAGAGAGAAACATCCGCCATGGACCCGTCTTCAGTCAAGAACCAAGTGACAGCATTTTCCCCTTGAGTTTTGAGGACAACAAGGTGTTCATCAATTGTAAAGCAAAGGGAAACCCAGCCCCGTATTATAAGTAGGTGTTTGTCCCTTTAACTTTTCATACCTTTCCTCTTGTCACGATTTTAACTGATAATACTGTTTTATCCTTTTGGTCTATATTGTCTCCATTTTCTAAACAACTCCATCAGTTATGAACAAATCTGATAGTGATGAATAATCATTGTGTTTGTGTGTGTTGCTGTACAGATGGAAGGTTGATGGGAGAGATATTGACATGGATTCGAACTACAACCTGGTTGAAGGAAACCTGTTGATCAATAACCCTCATGCAACACATCATGGGGGGGTTTACCAGTGTATTGCTACCAATGCCTTTGGAACCATCGTCAGCAGGGAGGCCAAGGTGCAGTTTGCATGTGAGTACATCTAGTCCTCTATCTAATACGAACAACAAAATACTGCCATTTCAGACATTTACCTAAACAGTAAATTTTTTGACCACTTCTCCTTCTTAGACACATTCTGTTTTTCTTGTGATGACACATCGAGTGAAGGCGGGATTTGCTGCGATTTGATGCACAATTGAGTACAGCATAAGCGAATCATTCAGGTTACGAACACAAAAAGTGTTTTTCCTCTCATCTGTCTTTTAATTTGAAAAGAGACGTTATTGGGGGTAATTGCCATGTTGACATGTACTAAGCCTGCAGCTCCATTAGTGATTAGTGTAAGTCTGAATCTTAGCATGGTTTTAACACTGGCTTAATGCTACACCCTGAGAATCACATCGTCTGGAGCATTTCAACAACAGAAGGCTACTTTTCTCTTCCTCTCACTCAAATGCACTGAGAAATTCACTCCCTCTATAGCTTGTGAAAAGATAAACATGATTTTAGACTAAAGTTATCCTATGAATCCATCAACATGTTCACATCTCTAGAGATAATACTAAGACTATCCCAGTTATAAAGGTCCACCGAAATTATCTTCCTTGCTGATTGCTTGTTTATCGTTGGACAATCTTTAATTGGGAGACCTGTTTGGGTGTTCATATGTCAGTTGAACATTTAGTTATGTTGTTTCACTTTACAACGCAGGTTTACTGCCAGTCTCAGCTAATTAACCAATCTAACCCATTACATTAGGGAAATTATAACCAATCTCAGGTGGTAGGGGGTTGTTATATTCATGCAGGTAGGGGGTTCATACTTGATCTTTTCATTTAAATGGTGATAAGCCTTCGGATGAGATGAGTTATGACTTTATTATTCTTGATATTTGCCTGTCCCCTCTTGGGATTTGGATGATATTTTCAAAGGTTTGTGGTCCCTAGTGCTGTTTGTTTTTCCTTATAAGGCAGTAGCATTTAATGAAAAGTGAAAGTGATCTGTAAATCCAGTTTAGAGGAAGGTATTTACGTCTCTCCCTATTCACACGTCACTGTTGGTATCAGCAGGGAACTAAAGTGGATGAGGTATAAGCAATGTGCATAGAGAGGAAAATGGTCTTCAAAATGAAAATGCCCTCTCAAGAATCTCACTGCGCTGTAGAGGCTGTTTGCTATAGAAATCTGAAAGTAATCAAAGCCCCTTTTATCTTTGCCTCCTCACAGATCTCCAGAACTTCAGCAGAAAGCCCAGGAACACAGTGTCAGTGAGAGAAGGCCAGGCTGTGGTGCTACTGTGTGGCCCTCCACCCCATAATGGAGGTACTATAATGCTTTGTATCCTCAAAGCTCACAGATTACTTGCTGCTTCACTCTCAGTCACGCCCTGCACATCTTATTGTTCTTCACTGTCATACTCACTGTCTTTCCCCAACACTGCTATACATTTCTGTTCTCATGCCTACTATTTCTTCTCACTACTCTTTCTTTCTTTTTCTTTCTTTCACCTTTATTTAACCAGGTAAGCCAGTTGAGAACAAGTTCTCATTTACAACTGCGACCTGGCCAAGATAAAGCAAAGCAGTGCGATAAAAACAACAACACAGAGTTACATATGGGGTAAAAAAACATAAAGTCAAAAAAATACAACAGAAAATATATATACAGTGTGTGCAAATGTAGCAAGTTATGGAGGTAAGGCAATAAATAGGCTATAGTCTATTTTAAATCTTTCAGTCTTTTCATATCCTGTTTCCTCTCCTGTGGGACTGGCTTTTATGATCATTCCTACTGGACTGTAGCAGCACCACTCCTCTAGGTGAACGCTCCCCAAACTCAGCCCTTCACATCCATAGTTCATACCCTCACACTTCATGGCCTCAAGCTCACTTTTTCCCCCATGTGAGCCGCGACCATGCTGTCATCTGTAAAGCCTCCGGTGCTCCACTTCCTAGCGTCAGGTTTTTTCAGTGTAGCCTGGGTATCTGTGGGTAGTAAAGGCTCCTGGTGGCTGGTGTGTCGCGGGGGGAAGGTTTATCCCGTGGCACAGCTGTGAGTGTGTGTGCTGCTGATTAGCAGACCCTCAAAGTGCCCGCAATCCCACAGCCATTCCGCGCCACCAGCACACTTTCACGCCAGTGCACCAGCATTTCACAACTCTGTTTCTAACTGAATCAATTTCCAGAAGGGATTTGAACTGCACCGTTTGCAATTTGCCCTCCTTTTCCCAAAATGCCTTCATCTCTTTATTTGACATTTTCAAGCCAGATAGACCATTGTCACACATTTTATGGGATTTTGTTACACGATGCTGCTGTCTCCAGGTGGATTTGAGAGGAAGTCCTGTGTGGCTCAGTTGGTAGAGCATGGTGCTTTCAACGCCAGGATTGTGTGTTAGATTCCCACGGGGGGCCAGTATGAAAATGTATGCACTCCCTGCTGTAAGTTGCTCTCGATAAGAGTGTTTGCTAAATGAATCAAATGTCAACTCTTAAATTGGAAAACAATGTTGTGGATTTTAGATCCAAGCAAACATGTTTTTTAGTTTTCTGCCATAAGTTGCAGTAATGTCAAACCAATTGAATGCAAGTTAATGCTTGTACAGAAATACATTTACCTATATAAATAGAAAAAATTAATGTTATTTGAAGCAACTTTGAGCAATCAGTGTTAGGTGGGCTAAATCGGTCTGTGTTCAGTGTGATGTGGTCTATAATGGTCTGTGTTAAATTCTGTCTGAGGGCATAAGATTATGTGCCTGCGAGTCCTCTGTTGTTGTGAGACCACAATCCGTAAGCAGAACCACTCGGTCTAATCATGAAAGGTCTGTCATTCTGCCCTGACTTTCACTATGATGATTTTTTATTCACTGTTTCCCAGAAGGAAGCAATGGGATGTTTTACTGTCAAGTCAAAAGACTGACTGCAGGATGTAATGTGTTTCTGATCACAGAGGGGCTCTAATACCCTAGCCCATCCTACCCTCCCTGTCCCTCACACCTCTAATAAGAAGCTCTTAATTTCACATACATTTCTTCAGATCCCGCTGCTCCATGCCCCATTCTCTCTCTCTCTCTCTCTCTCTCTCTCTCTCTCTCTCTCTCTCTCTCTCTCTCTCTCTCTCTCTCTCTCTCTCTCTCTCTCTCTCTCTCTCTCTCTCTCTCTCTCTCTCTCTCTCTCTCTCTCTCTCTCTCTCTCTCTCTCCCTCTCATTAATATTAAAGGGAAGCTGAGTCTAAAGGCTTTCAGGACAAAAAGGACCCAGCCTAGATTACGATAATGTTTTGTCTGTGTGATCTGCACAAGCCTGTGGCACTGACCCTTAATACTGACACTTAATATGTGCGGGAGGAGGATCTAGCTTGGCTAACTGAAAATGTAATTCAATAGCGTATCCAAATCTCTGCTTACTCTCTGGGATGCCTAGAGATGTGAAAAGGGCAAGGTTCAGCCATGTTAAGCATAACAATTTGAATGATGCATTATTGAATTAGTAACTGTTTGCACATATCTGGCACGGGAAATGGCAAAGTCACCTCACACTGTCTAAGTGCAATGTTTCATTGATATTATAAGTAGAAAACTGGACTCAGCTACTTTATGTCTCCACCTTTTTTATAGCTACAGTACAGGTACAAGAATCTAACCTGATCTCTTGTCTATTCTTAGTTTCACCACACTGGCAGATTTTGGAATGTCATTGGAACATGTATCTCTTCCTTTGTCAATACCCACGATCCTCTGCGGTTGCTGTCTGTGCTCTTCCTCTGCAGAGATCAAATACTCATGGGTTTTCAATGGACGCCCAAGTTTCCTGCTGCAGGATACCCGTCGCTTCGTCTCCCAGAGGACAGGCAACCTGTACATCGCCAAAGTGGAGGCCTCCGATGTGGGGAATTACACGTGTGTGGTGAGGAACATGATGACCAACGCCACCGTGTACAGCTCGCCCACCCCTGTGGAGCTGCGCAGGGACGGTAAGCATGCTCCACTGGCTCCTGCTTATCCTGCACGCTGAACCTGCCTGTGCCGTTGAAGGGGAGTGAAAGCTAAGGAGATAAAATCAGCCATCTGTTTGTTTTTCTGCTGCTTAGGAGCGGGGTTGTGCAGTATTCACACTCTACAGAGCTGTGGGTCTGAAAAGCCCTCTCTCTCTGCATGAAAAGACACATTTAAACATTTACATATCCAGAAATGCAGAGTGCACAGACACACATACATGCAGGCACACATGCGCATGCACACAAACATACTTCTGCACAGGGAGATTCACCTCACCTCAACCCCATTACTGCTGATTATACAGTGTGTGCCACTTAAGATTTGAGCTGGAGCAGAGCTGTTATCCAAAGTCATACAACCCCTGAACAAAGTATTGCTTTAAAGCATATCAACATGCAGGCTTGCCCTCTACCATCCTGTCCTGTGCCACAGTTCTTGCATTTAATTAGAATTATAAAACACAACGTTCACTTTGTGTTTGAATGAATGTGATTTTCTTTCACCTCACACAGCTGTAATGGCAGAGTATGAGCCAAAGATCGAAGTTCAGTTCCCAGAAAGTCTTCATGTCGCCAAAGGATCATCAGTGAAACTGGAATGCTTCGCCTTAGGAAAGTAGGTCTCAACTGGGATCATTATCAAGAACACTGTAGAAGCATCACATAGTCTGCATATGGAATTTAATATTCTGAGAATGTACTGTATTAGTCATGGCCAGACATCTCCCATGGCACACACCACTGTTAGATACAGTTGTTAGTGAAAGTATACACACCCCTTGCACAGTCTTCACATTTTGCTGCCTTAAAATTACATCTAAAAAGGATGTTTTTGTGGTCCTCTGTAGCTCAATGTGGTCCTCTGTAGCTCAATTGGTAGAGCATGGCGCTTGTAACGACCAGGATAGTGGGTTCGATCCCCGGGACCACCCATACGTAAAAATGGATGCACACATGACTGTAAGTCGCTTTGGATAAAAGTGTCTGCTAAATGGCATATTATTATTACAAATTGATTGTTTTTCCAATTGATCTACACAACCTACTCCACATATTCAAAGTGAAAGAAAAATTATAGAAATATTTAGAAATTACTAAGAAATACAAAATGAGGATGTCTTGATTGCGCATGTCTTCACACCCCAGAGTTAATACTCGGTGGAAACACCTTTGGCAGCCATTACATCTGTGAATCATTCTGAATAAGACTACCAACCTTGCACAACTAATCCATTGTTTTTGTCAAAATTGCTCAAGCTCAGAAAATTGGGTTGGATCATTGATGGACAGCAATATTTAAACCTTGTCTGTGATTTCTTAAGCAGATTTAAGTCAGGACAGAGACTGGACCATTCAGGAACACTCAACACCTCTTGGAAAGTCATTGTGGTGTGTCTTTGGCAGTACAATTTATGTAATTGTCCCATAGAAAAATACAACTTTATCCCAAGGTTAGGTTTTCAGAAGACTGTGGCAGGTTTTCTCTAACTTTTTACCTGGGCTTTGCTCCTTTCATATTTATTTTGATCCTAACAAACTCCCCAGTCCCTGCCGGTGACAAGCAGCATCATGTTATGGGTATGATTGTTATCGGCAGGGACTGGGGAGTTTGTCAGGATCAAAAGAAATACGAAAGGAGCAAAGCCCAGGTAAAAAGTTAAAGGAAAACCCGACTCAGTCTACTGAAAACCTAACCCTGGGATAGGGTTGTATTTTTCATTGAGACAATTGTTATTGTCAAAGACACACCAGAATGGCTATTCAAGAGCTGTTGAGTGTTTCTGAGTGGTCTAGTTAAATCTGCTTGAAAATTAGAGACACAATTTGAATATTGCTGTCTATCAATTATTCCCAACCAAATTTACTGAACTAAAGCAATTCTTACAAAAACAATTGGTAGAATATAATTTAAAATGATTCACAGTTGTAATGGCTGCCAAAGGTGCCTCCACCAAGTATTAACTCTGGGGTGCGAAAACATCAAGACATTTTCATTTTATTTTTTTTATTATTTGGAAAATGTTCTATAACTTTCTTTCACTTTGAAAATGTGGAGTAGGTTGTATAGATCTGTAGGGAAAAAAATCTAATGTAATCCCTTTTTAGATTTGATTGTATAGCAGCAAAATGTGAAGACTGTGCAAGGGGTGTGTAGACTTTCTCTAGGCACTGTATCTATGTCTGGCAGCTAATGTCTTAATACTAAGTGTCAGTATCAAGCATGTGGCTGTGGTGACCTTTACTACCTGACCTCTCCAGCCCAGTGCCTGCCATCACATGGAGGAGAACAGATGGGAATCCCCTCCCTGGCAAGATCAAAATCAACCATTCCAACGGGGTCCTAGAAATACCATATTTCAGACCGGAGGATGCTGGTGCATATGAGTGTGTTGCAGAGAACTCCAGAGGAAAGAACGTCGCCAAAGGGCAACTCATATTCCAGAGTATGATCGCTCACAATGTATATAAATTAACAGTTGTATGTTGCTTTTGTGATATGTGATAAAGAATTGAACTGTACAGAAGGTCATGAACAGTCAAAATCATGTTTTTCATGAAATTTGATGATATTTGGATGAAACCAGATCAAAGTATGATGGCAAAAGTATGGAAAATGACTGTTGCTTCTACATTGATCAAGTTTGATCATAAAGTCACTGGTCCCCACCCCCCTGTCAAACACTTGGATTCAGGAGGCGGGATTATTAAAGGGATATGGTGACATTACCTTAACCCTCTCATTTTAATACACCAATGGTAAGATGATGTTCTCTTACCTAATTTAAATAAGTACCGCCTTGTAAACAACATCGGAGAAGGCATGTTTGCAGAGGGGCATGGTTATATATAGCTAGATAGCTACTCTACTGGTGCCAAAATTTGACTGTAGGGTGTCAGCAAATCTAATTAAAAGTTTACCCTATTCATCTATGGCAAAGATACCTATATGTTTCCCCTTTAACCTGTGTCTGGTGTTAGCTACAGTTGAAGTCGGAAGTTTACATACACTTAGGTTGGAGTCATTAAAACTTGTTTTTCAACCACTCCACAAATTTCTTGTTAACAAACTATAGATCTTGCAAGTCGGTTAGGACATCTACTTTGTGCTTGACACAAGTAATTTTTCCAACAATTGTTTACAGACAGATTATTTCACATTATCACTGTATCACAATTACAGTGGGTCAGAAGTTTACATACACTAAGTTGACTGTGCCTTTAAACAGCTTGGAAAATTCCAGAAAATTATGTCATGGCCTTAGAAGCTTCTGATAGGCTAATTGACATCATTTGAGTCAATTGGAGGTGTACCTGTGGATGTATTTCAAGGCCTACCTTCAAACTCAGTGCCTCTTTGCTTGACATCATGGGAAAATCAAAAGGAATCACCCAAGACCTCAGAACATTTTTTTGTAGACCTCCACAAGTCTGGTTCATCCTTGGGAGCAATTTCCAAACGCCTGAAGGTACCACGTTCATCTGTACAAACAATAGTACACAAGTATAAACACCATGGGACCACGCAGCTGTCATACCGCTCAGGAAGGAGACGCGTTCTGTCTCCTAGAGATGAATGTACTTTGGTGCGAAAAGTGCAAATCAATCCCAGAACAACAGCAAAGGACCTTGTGAAGATGCTGGAAGAAACAGGTACAAAGTATCTATATCCACAGTAAAACGAGTCCTATATCGACATAACCTGAAAGGCCGCTCAGCAAGGAAGAAGCAACTGCTCCAAAACCGCCATAAAAAAGCCAGACTACGGTTTGCAACTGCACATGGGGACAAAGATCGTACTTTTTGTAGAAATGTCCTCTGGTCTACATGGCTGCTCCCGAGTGGCGCAGTGGTCTAGAGATCCTGGTTCGAATCCAGGCTCTGTCGTAGCCGGCCGCGACCGGGAGACCCATGGGGCGGCACACAATTGACCCAGGGTAGGGGTGGGAATGGCCGGCAGGGATGTAGTTCAGTTGGTAGAGCATGGCGTTTGCAACTCCAGGGATGTGGGTTCGTTTCCCACGGGGGGGCAGTATGAAAAAAAAAAAAATGTATGCACTCACTAACTGTAAGTCGCTCTGGATAAGAGCGTCTGCTAAATGACTAAAATGTAAATGGTCTGATGAAACAAAAATAGAACTGTTTGGCCATAATGACCATCGTTATGTTTGGAGGAAAAACGGGGATGCTTGCAAGCCGAAGAACACCATCCCAACCGTGAAGCACGGGGGTGGCAGCATCATGCTGTGGGGGTGCTTTGCTGCAGGAGGGACTGATGCACTTCACAAAATAGATGACATCATGAGGAAGGAAAATGATATTGAAGCAACATCTCAAGACAACAGTCAGGAAGTTAAAGCTTGGTCGCAAATAGGTCTTCGAAATGGACAATGACCCCAAGCATACTTCCAAAGTTGTGGCAAAATGGCTTAAGGACAACAAAGTCAAGGTATTGGAGTGGCCATCACAAAGCCCTGACCTAAATCCTATAGAACATTTGTGGGCAGAACTGAAAAAGCGTGTGCGAGCAAGGAGGCCTACAAACCTGACTCAGTTACACCTGCTCTGTCAGGAGGAATGGGCCAAAATTCACCCAACTTATTGTGGGAAGCTTGTGAAGGCTACCCGAAACGTTAGAACCAAGTTAAACTATTTAAAGGCAATGCTACCAAATACTAATTGAGTGTATGTAAACTTCTGACCCACTGGGAATGTGATGAAAGAAATAAAAGCTGAAATAAATAATTCTCTCTACTATTATTCTGACATTTCACATTCTTGAAATAAAGTGGTGATCCTAAATGACCTAAGACAGGGAATTTTTACTAGGATTACAGTGAGGGAAAAAAGTATTTGATCCTCTGCTGATTTTGTACGTTTGCCCACTGACAAAGAAATGATCAGTCTATAATTTTAATGGTAGGTTTATTTGAACAGTGAGAGACAGAATAACAACAAAAAAATCCAGAAAAACACATGTCAAAAATGTTATAAATTGATTTGCATTTTAATGAGGGAAATAAGTATTTTACGCCCTCTCAATCAGAAAGATGTCTGGCTCCCAGGTGTCTTTTATACAGGTAACGAGCTGGGATTAGGAGCACACTCTTAAGGGAGTGCTCCTAATCTCAGTTTGTTACCTGTATAAAAGACACCTGTCCACAGAAGCAATCAATCAATCAGATTCCAAACTCTCCACCATGGTCAAGACCAAAGAGCTCTCCAAGGATGTCATGGACAAGATTGTAGACCTACACAAGGCTGGAATGGGCTACAAGACCATCGGCAAGCAGCTTGGTGAGAAGGTGACAACAATTGGTGCGATTATTCGCAAATGGAAGAAACACAAAATAACTGTCAATCTCCCTCGGCCTGGGGCTCCATGCAAGATCTCACCTCGTGGAGTTGCAATGATCATGAGAACGGTGAGGAATCATCCCAGAACTACACGGGAGGATCTTGTCAATGATCTCAAGGCAGCTGGGACCATAGTCACCAAGAAAACAATTGGTAACACACTACGCCGTGAAGGACTGAAATCCTGCAGCGCCCGCAAGGTCCCCCTGCTCAAGAAAGCACATATACAGGCCCGTCTGAAGTTTGCCAATGAACATCTGAATGATTCAGAGGAGAACTGGGTGAAAGTGTTGTGGTCAGATGAGACCAAAATTGAGCTCTTTGGCATCAACTCAACTCGCCGTGTTTGGAGGAGGAGGAATGCTGCCTATGACCCCAAGAACACCATCCCCACCGTCAAACATGGAGGTGGAAACATTATGCTAAGGGGGTGTTTTTCTGCTAAGGGGACAGGACAACTTCACCGCATCAAAGGGACGATGGACGGGGCCATGTACCGTCAAATCTTGGGTGAGAACCTCCTTCCCTCAGCTAGGACATTGAAAATGTGTCGCGGATGGGTAATCCAGCATGACAATGACCCAAAACACACGGCCAAGGCAACAAACGAGTGGCTCAAGAAGAAGCACATTAAGGTCCTGGAGTGGCCTAGCCAGTCTCCAGACCTTAATCCCATAGAAAATCTGTGGAGGGAGCTGAAGGTTCGAGTTGCCAAACGTCAGCCTCGAAACCTTAATGACTTGGAGAAGATCTGCAAAGAGGAGTGGGACAAAATCCCTCCTGAGATGTGTGCAAACCTGGTGGCCAACTACAAGAAACGTCTGACCTCTGTGATTGCCAATAAGGGTTTTGCCACCAAGTACTAAGTCATGTTTTGCAGAGGGGTCAAATAATTATTTCCCTCATTAAAATGCAAATCAATTTATAACATTTTTGACATGCGTTTTTCTGGATTTATTTGTTGTTCAAATAAATCTACCATTAAAATTATAGACTGATCATGTCTTTGTCAGTGGGCAAACGTACAAAATCAGCAGGGGATTAAATACTTTTTTCCCCTCACTGTAAATGTCAGGAATTGTGAAAAAAACTGAGTTTAAATGTATTTGGCTAAGGTGTATGTAAACTTCTGACTTCAACTGTAGTTACTGGCTAGCTACGTCTTCAGCTAGCATGAAACAAAAGTGTGGGGAATGGTAGTTCAAAACTCGGACGCAGTTTTCAAGTTAACACATCCGTCAGTGCTGCCGTAAACCGCATCACAAGAGACAAAAGGGGGGTGTATAAAACATTTTTGACATCATTGATCAAATCAAATCAAATTCTATTGGCCACATGCGCGGATTACAGTGGGGGGGCAGTGCAAATAGTCTGGGTAGCCATGATTAGCTGTTCAGGAGTCTTACGGCTTGGGGGTAGAAGCTGTTGAGAAGTCTTCTGGACCTAGACTTTGCACTCCGGTACCGCTTGCCGTGCGGTAGCAGAGAGAACAGTCTATGACTAGGGTGGCTGGAGTCTTTGACAATTTTGAGGGCCTTCCTCTGACACCGCCTGGTATAGAGGTCCTGGATGGCAGGACGCTTGGTCCCAGTGATGTACTGGGCCGTACGCACTACCCTCTGTAGTGCCTTGCAGTCGAAGGCCAAGCAGTTGCCATACCAGGCGGTGATGCAACCAGTCAGGATGCTCTCGATGGTGCAGCTGTATAATTTTTTGAGGATCTGAGGACCCATGCCGAATCTTTTCAGTCTCCTGAGGGGGAATAGGCTTTGTCGTGCCCTCTTCACGACTGTCTTGGTGTGTTTGGACCATGATAGTTCGTTGGTGATGTGGACACCAAGGAACTTGAAGCTCTCAACCTGTTCCACTACAGCCCCGTCGATGAGAATGGGGGCGTGCTCAGTCCTCTTTTTTTTCCTGTAGTCCACAATCATCTCCTTTGTCTTGGTCACGTTGAGGGAGAGGTTGTTATCCTGGCACCACATGGCCAGGTCTCTGACCTCCTCCCTATAGGCTGTCTCATTGTTGTCGGTGATCAGGCCTACCACTGTTGTGTCGTCGGCAAACTTAATGATGGTGTTGGAGTCGTGCCTGGCCATGCAGTCATGGGTGAACAGGGAGTACAGGAGGGGACTGAGCACGCACCCCTGAGGGGCCCCCGTGTTGAGGATCAGTGTGGCAGATGTGTTGTTACCTACCCTTACCACCTGGGGGCGGCCCGTCAGGAAGTCCAGGATCCAGTTGCAGAGGGAGGTGTTTAGTCCCAGGATACTTAGCTTAGTGATGAGCTTTGAGGGCACTATGGTGTTGAATGCTGAGCTGTAGTCAATGAATAGCATTCTCACGTAGGTGTTCCTCTTGTCCAGGTGGGAAAGGGCAGTGTGGAGTGCAATAGAGATTGCATCATCTGTGGATCTGTTGGGGTGGTATGCAAATTGGAGTGGGTCTAGGGTTTATGGGATAATGGTGTTGATGTGAGCCATAACCAGCCTTTCAAAGCACTTCATGGCTACAGACGTCAGTGCTACGGGTCGGTAGTCATTTAGGCAGGTTATCTTAGTGTCCTTGGGTACGGGGACTATGGTGGTCTGCTTGAAACATGTTGGTATTACAGACTCAGTCAGGGACATGTTGAAAATGTCAGTGAAGACACTTGCCAGTTGGTCAGCACATGCTCGGAGTACACGTCCTGGTAATCCGTCTGGCCCTGCGGCCTTGTGAATGTTGATGCAATTTCAATGTTGTTTGAGTTGCTTTGTGTATCACCAAATTAGCTTGAGATGATTTTACTGCAACACTGCTCACTGCATCCAAGTTGCTTGACATAGGCATTTCAAAGAGCTGTCATTCAAGGAGAGCTCATGAATATAAGCTCCATGCTCACTCAGCCTGTCTTTTCAAACTTCCTGGTTTCTAGCCATGAGAGAGAAAAAATTAATCTCAAATATTGAGCATTTCTATCCAAAACAAATATTATGGGTGATATTTTAGTCACTCAAAAGGCTATTTTACATGGGACTCAGAATGACTGTTCGGGACCTTTAACTTTATTTCCCATCCTTGTAGCTGCTTCTTAATATAATAATGAATCAATTAAAACCAATAAGTTGTTTTCAACTTTAAATTCTTAAAATGAAATATAACTAATAATAACTAACACATTGTTTGAATGCTAATGGTTTTATCTGTCCTTTGTCAATGTTTAGTTAAGCATGTCTAATTTATATATCTGGTCCATAAAGTATGGATAAATTATGGTCATAAGTCAGGCCTGGAAAACCTTTTGCTCACTCTATGAAAGGGCATTATAAAGACAGGATAATCTGGAATTAATGTGTACCAATTAACCTTTATGTTTAGTCATTCTGAAGTGGCTAAGTCGTTGTCTTGCCAACTTGAACACTGCCACAACCCAGTTGGTCCTTAGAGAGAAATACAAATTGCATCCCAAGCTTAGGGCAGCTTTCCGCTCTACCATACAGCTATTCTTTGTGCCATTCATTTTGGGATGATTTAGGCCAATAAAGACCAGTTTTGCATTAGAACTGTCAATATAGATACTGTCATTTGGAAACTAAATTGTGTTCTTTATTCTCCAGATGTTGAACATCTGCACTGGGTCCAGACGTTAAAAGATGCTCATATGGCTATCGAGGCTAATCTCCAGTGGGAGTGTAGGGCGAGCGGTAAGCCTAAACCTGTGTACAGATGGCTGAGGAATGGGGAGCCCCTGGTGTTGGAGGTGAGAATGACTACAGAATTTGAATGTGTCATTGTGCAATCCCATTAAGAACTATTCTACCCATCTTAAGATCCCTTTACATCTCAGATCAAAGACATGAGATCAAACATTAAGCCGATTTTTATTTCAAATGTCTACCCATCACAAAGTTTGCTGCAAAGGTCACACACAATCATCAGAGATATTACAGGGCATAAAAGGCTGATTGACAATTGTTCTGCTAAATCTACATGACCAAAATATCAAAATTCTAGACAGTTAGTGTGAACATTTGTATTGTTTATATCCTGATCTTCCTAGGTTATACATTTATGAAAGTATCCATTTACACTGAATATACCAAAGATGCTGGCCCATGTTAACTCCAATGCATCCCACAGTTGTGTCAAGTTGGTGGACCATTCTTGATACACACAGGAAACTGTTGAGCGTGAAAAACCCAGCAGCGTTGTAGTTCTTGACACAAAACGGTGCGCCTGGCACCTACTACCATACCCCGTTCAAAGTCACTTAAATATTTTGTCTTGCCCATTCACCCTCTGAATGGCACACACACACAATCCATGTCTCAATTTTCTCAATTGCTTAAAAATCCTTCTTTAACCAGTCTCCTCCCTTTCATCTACACTGATTGAAGTGGATTTAACAAGTGACATCAATAAAGGATCATAGCGTTCACCTGGATTCACCTGGTCATTCTATCTTAATGTTTTGTATACTCAGTGTATATTTAAGCAATAAGGCCGAAGGAGGTGTGGTACAGTGAGGAAAATAAATATTTGATCCCCTGCTGATTTTGTATGTTTGCCCACTGACAAAGACAGTGAGAGACAGAATAACAACAAAAAAATCCAGAAAAACGCATGTAAAAAATGTTATAAATTGATTTGCATTTTAATGAGGGAAATAAGTATTTGACCCCTCTGCAAAACATGACTTAGTACTTGGTGGCAAAACCCTTGTTGGCAATCACAGAGGTCAGACGTTTCTTGTAGTTGGGCACCAGGTATGCACACATCTCAGGAGGGATTTTGTCCCACTCCTCTTTGCAGATATTCTCCAAGTCATTAAGGTTTCGAGGCTGACGTTTGGCAACTCGAACCTTCAGCTCCCTCCACAGATTTTCTATGGGATTAAGGTCTGGAGACTGGCTAGGCCACTCCAGGACCTTAATGTGCTTCTTCTTGAGCCACTCCTTTGTTGCCTTGGCCGTGTGTTTTGGGTCATTGTCATGCTGCAATACCCATCCACGACCCATTTTCAATGCCCTGGCTGAGGGAAGCAGGTTCTCACCCAAGATTTGACGGTACATGGCCCCGTTCATCGTCCCTTTGATGCGGTGAAGTTGTCCTGTCCCCTTAGCAGAAAAATACCCCCAAAGCATAATGTTTCCACCTCCATGTTTGACGGTGGGGATGGTGTTCTTGGGGTCATAGGCAGCATTCTTCCTCCTCCAAACACAGCGAGTTGAGTTGATGCCAAAGAGCTCGATTTTGGTCTCATCTGACCACAACACTTTCACCCAGTTCTCCTCTGAATCATTCAGATGTTCATTGGCAAACTTCAGACGGGCCTGTATATGTGCTTTCTTGAGCAGGGGGACCTTGCGGGCGCTGCAGGATTTCAGTCCTTCACGGCGTAGTGTGTTACCAATTGTTTTCTTGGTGACTATGGTCCCAGCTGCCTTGAGATCATTGACAAGATCCTCCCGTGTAGTTCTGGGCTGATTCCTCACCGTTCTCATGATCATTGCAACTCCACGAGGTGAGATCTTGCATGGAGCCCCAGGCCGAGGGAGATTGACAGTTATTTTGTGTTTCTTCCATTTGCGAATAATCGCACCAATTGTTGTCACCTTCTCACCAAGCTGCTTGGCGATGGTCTTGTAGCCCATTCCAGCCTTGTGTAGGTCTACAATCTTGTCCCTGACATCCTTGAAGAGCTCTTTGGTCTTGGCCATGGTGGAGAGTTTGGAATCTGATTGATTGATTGCTTCTGTGGACAGGTGTCTTTTATACAGGTAACAAACTGAGATTATGAGCACTCCCTTTAAGAGTGTGCTCCTAATCTCAGCTCGTTACCTATATAAAAGACACCTGGGAGCCAGAAATCTTTCTGATTGAGAGGGGGTCAAATACTTATTTCCCTCATTAAAATGTATAACATTTTTGACATGCGTTTTTCTGGATTTGTTTGTTGTTATTCTGTCTCTCACTGTTCAAATAAACCTACCATTAAAATTATAGACTGATCATTTCTTTGTCAGTGGGCAAACGTACAAAATCAGCAGGGGATCAAATACTTTTTTTCCCTCACTGTATATGGCCAATATACCACGGCTAAGGGCTGTTCTTATGAACGACGTAACGCGGAGTGCTAGGACACAGCCCTTAGCCGTGGTATATTGGCCATATATCACAAACCCCTGAGGTGCCTTATTGCTATTATACACTAGTTACCGACGTAATTAGAGCAGTACAAATCAAAGTTTTGTTATACCTGTGGTATACGGTCTGATATACCACGGCTGTCAGCCAATCAGCATTCAGGGCTTGAACCTGCCAGTTTATAATTTGAGTTTTATCACACATCACATACTGAGATGTGTTATTGAGGGTATATCTCTCTTGTTACCAGGATAGGATACTTGTAGAAGGTGGACGATTGGCCGTATCCAGGATCAACCTGTTGGACTCAGGGATGTACCAGTGCCTGGCAGAGAACGAACATGGAGCCATCTATGCCAGCGCTGAACTCAAGGTTGTAGGTAAATATGTCGGGGGACTCTAGTCTGAAGTGTTTGTTTTGTCTTGTTTAGAAAGCTGAAGCCAGAGACACAGCGAGGTCAAGACATCTGTGTACTAACACTGTCAGTAGAAAGAACCAACTCCAAAAGACAATTAACATCAGCTGAGCCATGGTTTTTAGCCACATTTACATAATTACTTGATAAAGAAAGCCAGCCAGTGGTTTTTTATTAAATTACATTTTTATAATTGAATATGATGCGTTTGACAGAGTTTGGCTGATGCATACATGCAGTAGCTAACTGCTGTGCCACTGCCTCGTCAAAGAGAACAGAATGGTTTCAACAGGGTTTGTTCTGTTCCACATGCAGCCTCTGCACCCGACTTCTCCAAGAGTCTTGTGAAGAAGTCCATGCTGATCCAGAGAGGGGGGGAGGTGATAATGGAGTGCCGTCCCCATGCGTCCCCTAGGGCCTCTATCTCCTGGCGGAGAGGGGGAGAGTTTCTGAAGGACAGCAAGAGGTACAGTCGCAGTCGCAATAGGGTCATTCCACTAAATAAGTGCCTTTTTATATTTTAAGTAGATATTGTGCACCAATATTGCATTTTAAAGCCTGTTATGTTAAATGAATCAATTAAATACAGACAACAGGGAAAATTGAATAAATCCAAATGTTAATATGAATTAAGGCTTGCTGAAGCTCCGTCAAGTTATTTTGTTGCTTTGACAAAGCATTTTAAGGTCAACCCTGTTACGTGAACTGAACTCTCGTTTTAATGTTTAAACTATTCCTTTTTTGATTTTGATTTTTTTGTTTAAGAAACATTGAACATCTAATAGTCAAATCATAGAGTAAAAGCAGGTGAGCTGGTTCTACAATTTTTTGCAATTATCTGGTGTTTTGCGGTGGAAAACTGAGCGTGTCGAGCATAACACAACATCAACCCTGTTACCCATAGATAGACAGCTAGAAATGTTTTAACAATTGTATTTTTTTGTGAAGCTTGCATTCAATTGCCTCTCGCTGTTGTAGTCCCCTGTAGCTCAGTTAGTAGAGCATGGCGCTTGCAACACCAGGGTTGTGGGTTCATTTCCCATGGGAGGCCAGTATGAAAAATGTATGCACTCACTAACTGTAAGTTGCTCTGGATAAGAGCGTCTGCTAAAATGACAACAAAAAAAAAGCTTCCATTCCCCCTGTCACAGGGGGATTTATGGCTGACTTAGGAAGAAATTGTCAACCCTGTTACGGTCAACCCTGTTACTTTAATAGGCACTTGCTATAGTCATTTTTTTATTTAACCTCTTGAGATGAAGGTTAAGTTGAAGGTTAAAATAAGGTGAAATATATATATCTTTTACCAAGTTACACTTCTCAAAAGGCACCGAAATGGTGGAATGACCCAAAAACAGTACCCATTGCTGCTCATGCCATCGATGGCTTGTGTATAAGGGCCCTTCTCCTGGGGACGTGCTAGTCTCTAGGGCTCAACGCTGTTTATGTCTCTAATCAATGACGTGGTGAGGGGGCTTTTTGCTTTTGCTTTTGCTTGTAGTTCAATAGAGATGTCCAGGATCTTGTTTGCTGTCTGTATATCTCTGTATTCAGGAATGTTCTGTACAACAACTTTACTGTTATGGTAGGGACTTTCATGTTCATTATGATGTCATTGGTCTTTCAAGCTTGTATTCAGCAGTGGCTATAAATGATTCCTTGTAACCTCTCATGCAAGCCTCACAGCTTCACAGGTTCACAGCTGACAAGTTCAGTTGAGGTACTGGTCATAGCCCAGAAGGTCTGTGGGGACAGTGGAACTGCTGCATAACCCTGCTGCAGCTACACTAACCTACAGTGAATTACTGTACTGCAGCCCTCTGAGAGAAAGACTCCGTCAAGAGCACGCTGTGGACCAAGAGCTGGAGAATAACATATCCAATATACTACCGCCTACCTTGAAAGAGAGAGAGAGAGAGAGAGAGAGAGAGAGAGAGAGAGAGAGAGAGAGAGAGAGAGAGAGAGGAGAGAGAGAGAGAGAGAGAGAGAGAGATCTCACCAGCAGCGTAATGTTTAGTGTACTCCTCTCACACGCCCTCTAATTCTGCATCTTTAATTGAGATGGTGCGGTTGAGACAGATGGAGTGTGAACAGCAGCCTTGTTGATACTGCTGCTTTTAAGCTATGGCCTGAATCAATATGTTCTTGCCACATTTCCATAGTCTTTCCGTAACTCAGTGGACCTGCCTCAACATGTGAGCAGAGCGATTGATTAGTTATCATATTCAACGGGGCGGTCATGAAGAAAAGGAGAAAGAAGTGATTACGATGGCTGTGCGTCTGGACGAGAATAGAAAATGCACGGCGTGGAACGGCGTTTCTTTCTTAAAGCAGATAGTTCTTTACATTTTGATTTGTTTTGCAGCTCATTGCCCCTCAGGTCATGTTTTCAGCATGCCTCTATCACTCAATGTTTGATATTTCTGTCAATGAATCAGCACAAAGCACCCTGTGTCAGACATGCTCTCTGGGTCTCAGCTCAGCCAGAGTGAATACATATTTATTTTTAAGAGCTGCAGTGAAATAGTTTGATTTCTGAGCTTGCAGTTCACAGTTTTTGTTTTTTATTTGTTGAAACAGAAGGTCACGATAGCTAGGAGTTCATAGCATTGTTTATGCATGTTTACATTTGTTACATTTTGTTAGATTAGAAAATAACGTACAAGCATTCAAAACCCAATGTTTGTGGAATATGGCAAACAATGAATAGAATCGACTTCTTTTATTTTTTTATTTTTATTTATTTTTTATTTTTTTTGGGGGGGGGGGTGGATCAGCTTAATATTGCAGATAGATTGTATCTTCTATCAATGTAATTGTCTGCATCACTTCCAATCCCCCATGTTTTTATTTTTATTTTTATTTTTTTATATATATATTCCCCTTTATTACTTTTCAACCCCACCATCCTTTCCCCACTTGGAGTAAATTAGTGAACAACAATGCCCAGGCCTCTACTTCCGGTCTATACTTACTATCTACACCTTATGGACAGAGTTAATTTTACAATAATTCTATTATATATATATATATATATATATATTATTTATTTTTTGCTCCTGAACTTCTTCTACTCTCAACCTCTCCGATCATTTTCATGATGTCCATCCGGTTTGCTTCTAAATGCCATATCTTTCTAACTGTGCTCTTTCCCAAAAGCTCCCAACATACAACCTATATACTTATTATGGACACAGTATGCTTACATTATTAGCTATCTTTGTTATTATTTGTTGTTATTTGTTATTAGTCCCATCCTTCAACTCTATTCAATACCTCCCATCTATCTCTTAACACCATCCATATAGGATTTCTATTTGCCATATATATTTCAACCGTACTGTGATGTTTTACAAAAGTTCTGAACCTTTCTATTCTCATTGCTTCTACAGATTGTGAATTAAAAATAAACATTTTTGCTAAAAGTATTATTATATTATTGATTGATTGACTATGACTTTTCAGATCACCCAGTAATGCTATCTGCAAGGTTAGTTCCAGGTAAATATTGCAATCCTTTAGCCATTCCTGGACCTGTGTCCAAAAACAAGCTACAAATGGACAGAACCAAAACAAATGATTCTGTCTCTTCACAGCAAAATCTGCAGAGCTGGGAAGATTGTATCCCCCATATAAATAACATTCTATTGGTAGCAAGAATTGTATATAATAATTTAAATTGAAAGATTCTAATTTTTGAATCCGGTGTCGTTTTGCGTGTCAGTTCATAAACACTATGCCATGGGATCGGTACGTCAAAGATCTCTTCCCAACTATTTTGCAATCTATATGGGACGGCTGTCAATCCTTTGGTCCTTAAGTGAAACTGATATACTTTTTTATTTATCACAGTTTTCCTTAACCAATTATGTTCTTTAATGCAAGGCCGACAGACAAGTTCCTTACTTTCTCCCCCTTCAACTTTCCTCTTCCACTTTTGCGGTAAGGCTGCAATTATTTGGTTGTAATTTTGGGTAGAGCAGACATTTCCATATGTTTTTGTTAGCTGCATGTGCGACATAACTCCACCAGTCCTACCAATGATATCATTTACGAAGATTATACCTTTTTTAAACATTCTGTCAAAAAATAAAGGTTTTTTTGTCAATTAGTATATTTGAATTTAACCACAATATTTGTTGCATTATTTGTTCTGTCGTTTCTGGAGGATTAAATTGAAATTGCAACCAACTTTCTATGGCTTGTTTTAGAAATAGTGACATTTGGGAGATTATTTCCTTTTCAAATAACTGAAAGTGAGAGGTTGTAATCTGAATAAAGGGAAAAAGGCCTTTCTTGAACAGTGGGTGAGACAATCTTACTAATTTGCTTGAGAACCAGTTCGGATTTAAGTATAACTTTTGGATGACTGAAGATTTTAGTGATAGGTCTAATGCTTTAATATTTAATAATTTATGTCCTCCGAATTCATATTCATTATATAAATATGCTCTTTTAATTTTGTCTGGCTTGCCGTTCCAAATAAAATTGAATATTTTTCTCTCATATAATTTAAAAAACTGTTTGCTAGGCGTAGGCAAGACCATAAGCAAATAGGTAAACTGGGATAATACTAAAGAGTTAATCAGGGTAATTTTTCCACAAATTGACAGGTATTTTCCTTTCCATGGTAGTAAGATCTTATCTATTTTTGCTAACTTTCTATTAATATTTATTGAAGTGAGATCATTTATTTCCTTTGGGATATGTATTCCGAGTATATCCACATCACCATCAGACCATTTTATTGGTAAACTACATGGTAATGTAAAAATTGTATTTTTTAGTGATCCAATACGTAATATAGTACATTTGTCATAATTTGGTTTTAATCCAGAGAGGTTAGAAAATGTATCTAGATCCTCTATGAGGCTGTGGAGGGATTCTAGTTGTGGATCTAAAAGAAAACATGAATCATCTGCGTACAATGACACCTTTGTTTTTAAGCCCTGTATTTCTAATCCCCTGATATTATTGTTGGATCTGATTTTAATAGCTAACATCTCGATGGCCATAATAAATATAAATGCCGATAGTGGACAACCTTGTTTCACTCCTCTTGACAGTTTAAAACTTTCTGAGAAATAGCCATTATTTACTATTTTACACCTAGGGTTACTATACATGATTTTGACCCATTTTATAAGAGATTCTCCAAAATTGAAATGCTCCAGGCATTTATATATAAACCCCAGTCGAACTTTATCAAATGCCTTTTCGAAGTCTGCTATGAATAGCAGGCCTGGTTTCCCATATTTTCCATAGTGTTCTATTGTTTCCAATACTTGCCTTATATTATCTCCAATGTATCTTCCATGTAAAAAACCTGTCTGATTAGAATGAATAATATCCGACAATACCTTTTTAATTCTATGCGCTATACATTTTGCTAGGATTTTTGCATCACAACACTGAAGTGTAAGGGGCCTCCAATTTTGTAAATGGACTGGATCTTTATATTTTCCACTTGTATCCTGTTTCAGTAATAATGAGATCAGACCTTCTTCTTGAGTGTCAGATAATCTACCATTTACATAGGAGTGGTTAAAACATGCTCTTAACGGTCCTCTTAGTATATCAAAAAAGGTTTGGTATACCTCGACTGGTATGCCATCCAACCCTGGAGTTTTCCCGGACTTAAAGTCTTTAATTGCATCCAGGAGTTCCTCCTCTGTAATTTCACCTTCACATGAGTCTTTCTGTGTGGCTGTTAATTTGACATTATCAATAGAAAAAAAATCTCTACAATTAGCTTCAGTTAGAGGAGATGGAGGCGACTGAAAAGAAAACATATGCAGAATCGACTTCTTTGTTATGAGGTTGCTTTTGTTATGTTGTATAAAGTAAAGCACTTTTAGATAGTTTGTGAAACTTCCACTTGACAGTGGGGAAAATGTTGCAAATAGATATAGTCTACAATCATCTCTGATTAGTATTTCAGTCATGTGCCTTTGAAACATTGTTGCTTGAGTTTCCTCGGTTTCTCACTGTGTCCTGACAGCCAGCTACAAGTGAGATGGCTCTTTAGTCATATCTGCTTTCATTACTTTTTGGAAATGGCTTTTAGTGTGTCGATAGGATCTCACACATGTTGTATAATTACAAGGCCGCAGGTAAAGATTCCTATTCGGAGTGAATCATCTCTCACTGTTGTTCTGCTCTCTTCTCCTTCCCATGTCCTCATTGGCCGCTGTGTCCCGCTGTGTATTCTATTAAAATGCACATTTCATCTTTTGTGCTTTCAATAGCATGTCGACCCTACAGCAAATCTGTTCTGCTTCAACTAAGAGAATTGCTCTGTTCTGAAATGTGCAAATGTGCTTGTAGAGAATTCAGTCTTCCAGACAATTCCGTTTTTAATTCATGAAATAGTTGTTATTCAAACTACAACATGGATGTAGGCTATTTAAGCAATAAGGCCCGAGGGGGTGTGGTATATGGCCAATATACCACGGCTAAGGGCTGTTCTTAAGCACGACGCAACGCGGAGTGCTAGGACACAGCCCTTAGCCGTGGTATATTGGCCATATATCACAAACCCCTGAGGTGCCTTATTGCTATTATAAACTGGTTACCAACATAATTAGAGCAGTAAAAATAAATGTTTTGGTCATACCCATGGTATACGGTCTGATATACCACAGCTTTCAGTCAATCAGCATTCAGGGCTCGAACCACCCAGTTTATATTTGAAATGAAGCCAGAAGTGTTTATGTATTTGTATGCTAATTATCATTTAGAATCCCTATATAATCCAGTGAGTGCTATCAAATAATTATTGATCCTGATAACAACAGTTGTCTGTTCTTTCATTCTTGTCAGACAGACTATTATGGAGGATGGAACTCTCCGTATCACCAACATCAGCAAATCAGACGGAGGGAGGTACACCTGTGTGGCCAGGAACCCCTTTGGGACATCAAGCAGTACTGGCACTCTGGTGGTGAAAGGTACCTTTCCGGACACAGATTTCACTACCTTTTAAGCAGATGGTTTAAACCTGTGTTTAGAGGGGGGAAATACTAAGCCAAGCATGAAATTGATAATGAAATATATAGTTGTTTTATGTTCCTGCTGGTTTGACAGAAACATAACTCATCATCCTTGGTGTTGTCAGCTGTGAGTTATTGGTCACACAACAGAGGGGAGAAAATCCCTGGCATCTAGAGTAGTGAGGATAGAGATGTTATGTTCCGCCCAAGTCAGACATTTCATGTTAATTTAAAAAGAGCTGCTGTTTAAATTTGTTGATTTGGCTGTTTTAATAACTGATGGTTGTACATGGAGTATTAAATTGACACCATGATTGCATTAGGTTGAATTATTCCATCTCAAGACTATATCAATAAAACATTTTTTTTCTCCAAACATGTTAATTGGATTGAGAGGAATAAGCATTGCATTGAAAACATCTTGTCTACATGAACAGGACATTTTGTCCAGCAGCAGGTCTATATTCAAATTCAAGTCATGTCGCACGGCTCCAGTAACACATGATCCTGTGTGTTTGTTTTTCTGTGTTGTCAAAAAGAGCCGACCAAGATAACAGTTCCACCGCTGAGTGTGGATGCCACTGTGGGAGAGAGCATCGTGTTGCCATGTGAAGTGTCCCGAGACTCCTCCCTGGATCCCACCTTTAAGTGGTTCTTCAACGGCAAACTCGTTGATTTCAACAAACAGGGCCACTTTGAGATGATAGGAGGGGTGTGTACCTACTACCTATATCAGTGTTTCCCGACCCTGGTCCTCCAGTACCCCCAACAGTACACATTTTTGTTGTAGCCCTGGACAAGCACACCTCATTCAACTCATTGAGGGCTTGATGATTAGTTGACAAGTTGAATCAGGTGTGCTTGTCCAGGGTTACGATAAAAATGTGTACTGTTGGAGGGACTGGAGGACCAGGGTCGAGAAACACCGACCTGTACTGTACACAGTCGTTTCTGCTCACAAGCTTCATAGCTTGTACAGTAACAGTACACCTACATGCAGTGGCGGCTCCTGAAAAAATTCTCAGGAGGGGCAATTTTTCTGATGATTTAGGTGACCTACACACATTTAAAAAAAGATATGTCCAGCAACAACATGAAGACAGGGGCAGCATATAAGTCAATACCAGAAGCATTTATTGACTGATCTCAAAAGTGTTGGCTTACCAGGGTTGGTGGAGCCCTCAGTTTCATCTTTGCCTCGCAAAGCTAACTCAAACACTCCGCAAAACTTCACACACTGGATTAGCCGGCTGAGGATGTGGCGGTTCTTGCTAATGTCGTAGTAAATATATTTGTTATAGTGAATATGGAATATGATATGTTGAGTAAAATGTTGTGCTAAGATCTATTTAGGTCAGGAGCTGGTTATAAGTTCTGTTCCTATCCAATAACAATGGACAAAAGGGTCCTATCTTGTCAGCCTTGTCAGCAGGTGGCCAAGGACAACACCCACGCCATAGGCCTCTCAGTTCTTCCAACTCACGAGTTCTTGCTCTGAGGACACACACACACACACAAACACACACACACACACATCATCACTGTTAAACACACACACACACACACACATCATCACTGTTAAACACACACACACACACACACACACACACACAAAAATCCCCTCTCTTAGGCTGAACATTTGAAGACAGAGAACCCGACTCAGAGCCAATGCAACAGTGACAGTAGCCTGCAGGGGACCTCGCCCAACTCATCAGGACCAATCAGAAGATCAGAACTACTAGATTGAACCTACTTCATTTATTGCATAAAATGTCTGCACACAATGTTTCGGGGCTCTCTTCAGATAATAATAATAATAATAATAATAATAATAATATGCCATTTAGCAGACGCTTTTATCCAAAGCGACTTACAGTCATGCGTGCATACATTTTTGTGTATGGGTGGTCCCGGGGATCGAACCCACTACCTTGGCGTTACAAGCACCATGCTCTACCAGCTGAGCTACAGAAAGTGGATACTCATGGATGCGCATTGCAATTGTAAAATGTCAACACAATTGGAGACACCACGTCATTTTTGGAGACATGTTATTGACAGTAAACTATTGTAGATGCGACTGCTAACTAACTAAAACATTTTAGCTGGCTAGCTAATCATCTTAGCTAAATGTGGGGCAAACAATTAAGTTATTTACCGTTAATTTGAGGGATTGGGGTGAAAGAAATCGAGTTACATAGTGATACTTTACGATATACTGTATTGACAATATCGCAATATTTTAGCGCTAGTTGGCTGTACCTGCACCAAAACACCATTATTGTTCCTTCATAGCTTGTTCTCAATCTTTTCACATTGGGAGCCAATTTGTTTTCAGCACTTTTATTTCCATGACTGATCAAAACTCGTTCTCATGGCTTTCTGATCCCTCTGCAACAGACATATGGTGCGCAATAAAATCACAGTATCGAATCGCAATACGTATAGAATCATGAGACTCGCAATGCTGATGCATATATCTTATCGTGAGGTTCCTGGCAATTCCCAGCCCAAGTTCATTTTTAAGAGTTTGACGAACGGGTCCGTGAACGCGATTCCAGATATATTTACCTCTGAATAAACTGCCTTTATTACACCATATCCACATCCAGTAAACTTGTGATTATCAACACTAACCTCATCGTTGTGGCGGCGGACAGCTAGCCTGTATCCCTCGTCATCCAGTTGAGTGAGTGGCAATGTCTTTTTTCGTTCGTACCAATTTTTGGAAAATCCTCGGGTGTAGGACTTTCCGCCTTTAGTAGAAACCTGTTGAATTATTAAATTTGGTCTGGGAGGTCCTAATTGTTTCGTTGCCAATTTATCTTCATTTGTTCGCCGACAAAAAGGAACTTCTTTCAAACAATCCACTCTTTTCTCAGTTACGTTCATGGTTACGTAACGTATGACGAAAGCGCGTAAGTGCAAGCCCACAGACACCCATTGAGATTGTATTGAAGGCTCTGAAATTTGAAAAAAATAGATTTTACATGGGAGTCTATGACAGAAGTTCTGGGCGATTTTCAATCTGACTGAAATCGCCCCAAAAGGGGGTGGAGCCATTTGAAGCACGACTTTAGCCTGATTCGACATTTAGTGGCAGTGTGGCACTGTGGCAGATCAGACGTATAGATTACAACACTGATAACTACTGTTGCCGTGATATAATTGATTAGAAAAAAAATCCCTTCCTTTTCCCGTTTGGCAGTGCGTCGCCCATATCGCCCTATTGAACAGGCCGTCCCTGCCTCTGCAACAGACATATGGTGCGCAATAAAATCACAGTATCGAATCGCAATACGTATAGAATCATGAGACTCGCAATGCTGATGCATATATCTTATCGTGAGGTTCCTGGCAATTCCCAGCCCAAGTTCATTTTTAAGAGTTTGACGAACGGGTCCGTGAACGCGATTCCAGATATATTTACCTCTGAATAAACTGCCTTTATTACACCATATCCACATCCAGTAAACTTGTGATTATCAACACTAACCTCATCGTTGTGGCGGCGGACAGCTAGCCTGTATCCCTCGTCATCCAGTTGAGTGAGTGGCAATGTCTTTTTTCGTTCGTACCAATTTTTGGAAAATCCTCGGGTGTAGGACTTTCCGCCTTTAGTAGAAACCTGTTGAATTATTAAATTTGGTCTGGGAGGTCCTAATTGTTTCGTTGCCAATTTATCTTCATTTGTTCGCCGACAAAAAGGAACTTCTTTCAAACAATCCACTCTTTTCTCAGTTACGTTCATGGTTACGTAACGTATGACGAAAGCGCGTAAGTGCAAGCCCACAGACACCCATTGAGATTGTATTGAAGGCTCTGAAATTTGAAAAAAATAGATTTTACATGGGAGTCTATGACAGAAGTTCTGGGCGATTTTCAATCTGACTGAAATCGCCCCAAAAGGGGGTGGAGCCATTTGAAGCACGACTTTAGCCTGATTCGACATTTAGTGGCAGTGTGGCACTGTGGCAGATCAGACGTATAGATTACAACACTGATAACTACTGTTGCCGTGATATAATTGATTAGAAAAAAAATCCCTTCCTTTTCCCGTTTGGCAGTGCGTCGCCCATATCGCCCTATTGAACAGGCCGTCCCTGCCTACATGTCAGACAAGACTAGGGCATTTAACATGGAGGCCTGGCAAGGTAAAACCTGTAGCGAGAGATGAAAACCCCAAACCTGTAGCTGATCTTAGGAGTAAACCACATGATACTCCTGTGAACAAGGAGCACAAATCTGTCTGATTACAGGATGTATCCTCTGGTCTGCTGAGCACACAAAGACCCTGCACTAAAATGGCCTGCATAACACTGACATTTTCACTGTGAGCATCATTTAGCAGAGCTATTAAACTTCTGGAAGTCGTTTGTTTAACACAAGGAGTGTTAGAATCAGTGTCACTCCAGTGTTCCTACCTGCTCTTTTCTCTCACTAAAGACCTAGCCTGGCCTAGGTCAATCTGCTACTGCCCTAGCGTATAGAGAGTTGAAACGTTATCATTATGATAATTGGTACACAGCTGGAAAAATAGTTATTTAATGACTGTATTTGGAATTACTAGGATTGTTGTGAAATTACACTGTTTTCTGTTCTATTGTCATCAGGAATCAGCTGGTGATCTGATGGTCAGGAATATTCAGCTAAAGCATTCTGGGAAGTATGTGTGCATGGTTCACACCGTGGTGGACAGCGTCTCAGCAGCAGCCGACCTCATTGTCAGAGGTACGCACGCACTTCCTCACCGTGATGCTACTTTGTATTACTGATATGCTGTAGCACTCATCTAAAGAGGAATTCGAAAACCTACCACATTATCACCCTCTATTCATTCTCTTTACTTCAGCCAACTATTCTGGGTGACATTCATTCAGTGTTAAATAATGATTACAGGATAATCTCTAAATCAATACATTAATTTTCCACTTCTCCTTCCTTTTGGAATAATTTTGTATTTCCCCTCATCAATTGAAGGATCTTTAGCTCCGCTGGGTGAAATATTAAATGTCTTTCTCTTTTTTGGGTAGACTTGTCTGCCTTGCATGAAACTGCTTTAACCTTGCCATCCTTTTTTGGCTGACACAATAGAGCTCTTTGACAGTGGTTTTCTCCCTCTTCTGTCAGGGCCGCCCGGTGCCCCAGAGGGCCTCATGGTGGGGGAGATCACTGACTCCACTGTCCAGCTCTCCTGGGGGTCTGGGCCTGACAACCACAGCCCTGTCACCACGTACACCATCCAGGCCAGGACCCCCTTCTCCATCGGCTGGCAGGCCGTCAGGACAGGTAGCTACAACACCAGCCCATCCATCTGTTTAGACACCACAGCGTTTATGAAATTGTTTTCTACAGCACATTATATTCAGAGAATGTTTCTGTCATAGAGATATATAATTAGGTGGTTTCTGTACTATGATAATATTGTGAGAAGAGTCAACTTTGGGGATGATGTGAACAGGAGTATTGCTTTCTTTTTACTCATTCGTTATCTCGTGGGCTTTCTTGGATAAGTTATATTGACTGAATTATATCACAGGCAGTCTTTGATAACATGGATGCTTTTTGAAATGTGATTTGTTGGTGGATGAGAATCAATATGTATTTAAATTCTAAATTCTTTAATCCTAGTTCCTGATTCTGTGCCTGGACAGATGTTTCATGCAACGGTGATAGATTTGAACCCCTGGGTGGATTATGAATTCAGGGTGGTGGCTATCAACAATGTGGGTGTTGGAGAGCCCAGCATGCAATCCAAGCAGATTCGAACGAAAGCAGCAGGTACTTTTTAATTCCTTTCTGTCCTCTCGTGGTGAATCTATCAACCCCACAGTGGAAATGGAATTTAACTGTCTGATTAGTTTAACTTGTATTGCGTGTTCTGTTCCTCCCCTGATAGAGTTCACCATGTAGATCCCACAGTCACTTTTATCGTGCCTTTCTCATCGCTAATTATGTGTAATGAAGACATAATCAGCTTTGTTCCAATTTGACAGACACCGAGACAGGTGTTAATGATTTACCTAATAGGCAAAGAAAGTGAGAGATAATTTATTCATATGTTTAGATGACACAGCCATGTGCATATTGACACTAGTGATACTTTTGCTCGTCAGATTAGAACCACCCGAGCAGGATGCATCATACCTTTTAAGCATTTAGATGCTGTATACATCAGCACTCAGGAAAACCTAACATGATTAATTCATGTCAGCCATATCAACAGGAACCGTGTGAAATACCCACGCATGCCATAAGGCAAGGACTTAAAAGTGTCTATTTTGAGCGGGTTAGCAGAGTGCGTCCGCCTGGCTCACTGAATCACAAGAGAGGAGTACATATGGAGGTGACACACTGTAGTAACAGCAGCAGCATGCGCAGGCGCTTGTGCCAGTATCAACCCACATTTAATTTGATAAAAACATCAAGCCTTTGCTTTGTGAATTTAGGAAACCGTATTGGGATTAGGGGCACTATGATAGTGATATCAAGGCTTCTGTATGGTTTTGGAGTAGTAAGGATTCAAATATGCCTTTGCTCCCCCCTCTGAAGGAATACACACCCTTATATTGGACACTGTTGTTGTTTCTGTCCATCCAGTTCCTGAAGTAGCACCAGGTAATGTGAGTGGAGGAGGAGGAAGGCGAGGAGAACTGGTTATCCAATGGGAGGTAAGCTTGCTGATCATCACAGACGTATTAGAATATGTCTTCATTGTGACAGACTGTTTTCAAATCAGTCTTCTGACATGAATGGGGTTTTGACAGAATTCTCTACAGCAACGTGACTTCAATTAAATGGGTTTTAATTAAAACAAGAGCTGTCTTGCCTAGCTATTTGCCTCCTCCAAACATCTCCCCTGGTGTGTAAATCAAAATGCAAGAATTAGCGATGGTGGAAATTGTATGTGCATAAATCTAGGATGATATCTGTGGGTCTCTTAAAGTGATTTGGCTTATCGTGCAGAATGGTTTAGGAAGTGTGTATACTGTGTATAGCTTTGGATATACAGGTAACTGCCAAAATAAAGGAAGCACCTTGGCATTAATTCTACAAGTGTCTGGTATGTATTGGAGGGATGCGACACCATTCTTACACGAGAAATTCCATCATTTGATGTTTTGTTGATGGCAGTCAAAAATGCTGTCTCAGGCGCCACTCCAGAATCTCCCATAAGTTGTTTAATTGGGTAAAGAGACGGTGACTGAGACACACACACACACACACACACACACACACACTCACACACACACACACTCACACACACACACACATACTGACACACCCTTCACTGAGATCTCTTCTTCTAGCCATGGTAGCCAAAATAATGGGTAACTGGGCATGACCCTAAGCATGATGGGGTGTTATAATTGCTTAATTAACCCAGGAACCAGACCTGTGTGGAAGCACCTTCTTTCAATATACTTTGTATGCTTCATTAACTCAAGTGTTTCCATTATTTTGGCAGGTACCTGTACATGTATTATCTTGTTGGTGTTGTGGTATTTGGCTATTCAGAATTTGACACTTCTAGTTGATATAATCATTTGATGTTCAGTTCACAACCAATGGGAAGAAATTCTACAATTTATGCTGTCAAAATCTCTTTGTCTCATAGCCGATACCAGAGGAACTACAGAATGGAGAGGAATTTGGATATATTGTGGCTTTTCGTCCTCTTGGTACAAACACGTGGAAACAGACTGTGCTGGCTTCACCTGATGCATCAAGATACACCTTCAGGAACGACAGCATCCCGCCCCTCTCCCAATTTGAGGTGAAAGTTGGAGTCTACAACAACAAAGGAGAAGGCCCATCTAGCCATGTGGTTGTAGTGTATTCTGCAGAGGAAGGTTAGTTATTTTGACTATTGGTCAAGTTGTTGATGAAAGGGAAAGTTTGGTTTAGTTTGACTTGAATGTTTACCATTCTTGATAATGTTCTTGGTCTGATCTTTTCATGTTTAGAGCCCTCTGTAGCCCCGTCCAGAGTGTGGGCCCGGACGCTATCAGCCTCTGAAATTGAGGTGTACTGGGAACCCATCCCCCAGACAGCCAGCAGTGGAAAGATCCTTGGATATGAGGTATGAAAAATATCCCAGCATTCATGATACTGGTAGAGAGCAGAAAACAGCATGATAGATATTATCCTCAATATGATTGACTCTGCAATGGGTCGGCATGCATTTAAATAGAACTGCCAGTGGCAAAAACTAGGAATTTCCCCTACACTGAAAAATTGCTTGGGATACAGGTACATTTCTCACCATCTAATCTGGAGAATGAAGAGGTCTGTCCACAGCTGTTACGGTCTCCCAAGGACCCTTATATCCTGGCTGCTACCCTGCCTGTGTAGTGTTCTATGAATCACGCCTCACAAGTGTGAACATCATATGTCAATTTACTCCACAACAAACATCGTCCCTCATGACAGAACACCTAGAGGATCTTACCCATTCTTCCCTTAGTATAGCCCAGGACTGGCTGGCTATAGGGAAGGCCCTGGTTACTTGACCTCCATTGTTCACTCACAGCCCCTGTTCATCAGGTCCAGAAATAAATCAACAAACAACAGTGCTGGAAGTGTTTCTAATGATGCCGGGAGGTCTGGAATAACCTTAATGTCTTTGGTTCCAGGTCCTTTGTTGGGAGGAGGGGGTGCAGGAGAGCGATGCTGAGATGGTGAAGGTCACGGACACTGTGGCCCTTCTCTCTGGACTCATGGGAAGTACGTTGTATCTGATCTCAGTCAGGGCCCAGAACAGCGCTGGAGCCGGGCCTTCTAGCCCCGCAGTCAAAGTCACCACCAAGAAACCACGTGAGTTTTTCTCTGAGATGGGATAGCTGTCACATGCAATTTGAGCATTTCTCTCTTTACAAGTCTGCTTTCACGTTCATGAAGCCTGCATATCCCGCAGAGTTTTACATTAATCGAATTGTGGTAAAATGCAGCAGGATACAATACAACTTCAATGACTTTAGAGCCTCTGTGAATACTCGACATCAACAGCACTGCTGAGACGAAACACAGTCATCTGGGTATATTCTTGACTGCATGTTGACTGCAAGACTAACAGATGGAATTGGATTATGTTATACCTACAAGGTGAATTAGCAGGGCCCTCTTTAAAAAAAATTACGAAAATCTGTGACAAGATGCTGTTTGTCTTGACGACTCAAGGAGAGGAGGCGTGCTTATGAGCTTATCAGAGTTGGAGGCAATTATTCAACCATTAACTCTATCTCAAAGCAATCTGCTTTCTTGTTCCATTCTAGTCGAGATTTCCTTAATTCAGAAGCGATAAGGGGATGATTAAAGTGAGAAAGTAATTTAGGAGTTATTTCAGCTATTGATGGAATTTTACGTGACTAACTCGTGTGGCTATATGATTGCATATCTTTCAGCACCAAGTCAACCTCCAGGGAATATTGAGTGGAACTTGACTAACTCCAAGATCTTTTTAAAGTGGGAGCATGTCAAGGCAATGGGAAATGAGTCTGAGGTGACAGGATACAAGGTGAGTGTTGTCAATGGAATAGCAGAATCTTTGAAAACTAGGAAACAAATGCAGTTTCTTGGCTAACCTCAGCCTCTATGTTCTCTATAAATGACTCCGTGGTCGCTGTGGAAATATAAACCTCAGCACTTTCAGTGTCACATACGGATTGTCTCTGTCTGGCCGTACAAAATTAAAAGGTCTGTTCCCAGTGATATGACCCAAAACAAACCTATTTCTCCATTGTGCTGGTTTTGCACTGAGTAGGTTGATTGATCATCTGCAACATTTCGATATGTGAACACGCAAAATGTGACCTTGTTGATGGTTGTTGATACATTCAGTCAAGATTCCTGCCTCTCGATCTCTCTGAATGCGCAGTAGTAAAAATACCTGCTGTATTTGAACCTGCGTAACGGGAAGTGTTTCATGTCATCCTGGGTATCTGAACTCTTGGAGCATTCAGCAGAGGATTATGATTCAGAAAAGGTCCTGCTTTCTTTTAAAGTATACATTTTCTGACGTGGCTCAGAGATATGAGAGAGAAGGTGAGGAAGCAGCTGGGAGCCTTTGAAGCTCCACATTCAGACATCAGCCTCCACTGAGCGCCACATGGGGGCCACACCAGCCTCCACTGAGTGCCACAGGGGGCCATACCAGCCTCCACTGAGCCCCACAGGGCTCCACCAGCCTCCACTGAGGCCCACAGGGGTCCACCAGCCTCCACTGAGCGCCACAGGGAGACACCAGCCTCCACTGAGTGCCACAGGGGGCCATACCAGCCTCCACAGAGCACCACAGGGAGACACCAGCCTCCACTGAGGCCCACAGGGGTCCACCAGCCTCCACTGAGCGCCACAGGGCTCCACCAGCCTCCCCTGAGCGCTACAGGGCTCCACCAGCCTCCACTGAGGCCCACAGGGGTCCACCAGCCTCCACTGAGGCCCACAGGGGTCCACCAGCCTCCACTGAGCGCCACAGGGAGACACCAGCCTCTACTGAGCGCTACATGGGTCCACCAGCCTCTACTGAGCGCTACATGGGTCCACCAGCCTCCACTGAGGCCCACAGGGGGACACCAGCCTCTACTGAGCGCTACAGGGAGACACCAGGCTCCACTGTGCCCCACAGGGCCACACCAGCCTCCACTGAGTGCCACAGGGGGCCATACCAGCCTCCACTGAGCCCCACAGGGCTCCACCAGCCTCCACTGAGGCCCACAGGGGTCCACCAGCCTCCACTGAGCGCCACAGGGAGACACCAGCCTCCACTGAGTGCCACAGGGGGCCATACCAGCCTCCACAGAACACCACAGGGAGACACCAGCCACTGAGGCCCACAGGGGTCCACCAGCCTCCACTGAGCGCCACATGGCTCCACCAGCCTCCCCTGAGCGCTACAGGGCTCCACCAGCCTCCACTGAGGCCCACAGGGGTCCACCAGCCTCCACTGAGGCCCACAAGGATCCACCAGCCTCCACTGAGCGCCACAGGGAGACACCAGCCTCTACTGAGCGCTACAGGGAGACACCAGCCTCTACTGAGCGCTACAGGGAGCCACCAGACTCTACTGAGCACTACAGGGAGACACCAGCCTCCACTGAGCCCCACAGGGCTCCACCAGCCTCCACTGAGTGCCACAGGGGGCCACACTAACACCTCATTCTATAATTTGCAATTCATGGCATCCTCTGGAAAGAGCCTGCAGAAAATATACAATACATTTCTTAAGACTATTTGGCTGCACAAGAAAATACTCTTTCTTTTTCTGAAGAGTTTTGCTTTCTCTGAGAAGCAGCTTCTCTTTCTTCAAAGAAACAGTACAGTGGCATTATCCATAAATCTGTAATTTCTTGTTAAGGTCAAACTACTTTTGTTGACATCAGATACTCGCCATGATATTCCCTCTCCCGTATCAAGGTGGTGTACCGTCAGAACTGGCTTGGGAAGACCAGCATGGTGGAGACCAATAGGACCAGCGTGGAGCTGCAGGTCCCCTCTGGTGAGGACTACCTCATTGAGATCAAAGCCTTGAGTGGTGGAGGGGATGGCAGCAGCAGTGGCCCCATCAGGATCCCAAAGATGTCCAGTAAGAGATTAAATTTTTTGTCTTTCACCATTCATAGGATGAACTTTTGGGTTTCCAAAGTGCCTTCAACAAATGTCTGTCTCATAACTACGAGTCACCCAGGTATGCTTGTTAATGTGTCTTTGTCTTTTTCAGGTCTTAACTCAAACGGCCATTTCAACTCAGCTCCAAGGAACATATGTGTAGTTATGTTTTTTATACTTTCAAGGTTAACTTTATAACTTAAAAATGCCTTTTATGAACTCTAACTTTGAGAGTCATGTACTCAGCAAAGGATAACATTATTGTTATTTTATGTGTAGCATTCACTTCTCAAGAATGTGAAATCAACAGCTTACTATTTAGAGTATTCAACGCAGCTGCATTGCCTTATAATTGTATGCACTTTTGTATTAATTTGTCAACCAGGCTTTTGAGTGTTTTATTTCTAGATTTTACGCAGAAAGGATAGGCTTTACATATGAGAAGATTGTCAAATATTAGAACAATCTACATGAGCCTAGCCTATTTGTGCCTCATCCCTGTGTTCTGTGTGACCTGTTTGTTATTGTACAGTAAACGTTCTGTTACGATGACTCAACTGTTGAAACGACCATGGTTCACTCAGAGGTTGTCCTTTAATTCCTTCATGAAGCACAGTTACTGTATATCGTCTGTCTGGCGGCCGTCAATATTCAGCAAATTCTGTGAAAAAGAATCCCAGTTCTGTGGTATTCGGACGTTCTTGAGGTTTTACATATTCTATCATCAACATTTAACAGTATCATCATGGTCAATATGACCATCACATACATCTTGGATCAATATACAGAACTAGACAAAAAAAAACATCTTAATGTTTGTTGATACCTGGGGAAGATTTTCTCTAATATTTTCCATTAATTTAACTCTTTCTTCGTTTTCTAATGTTTTGTAATCAATATATTTCAAGTTGTGTGCTTGATAGCTCCTTTTTTTGTTGATTTACCATAAATGTGATATATTTTAGGTGTTGCATAAGCCTTTTAATACTATTGTATTAACAAACTAAATGTATCTCTGTGAGATGTAATTGAGACTGAATAAAATGTTTCACATTGAAATGTCTATTTTAAATGTGTTTTCATTTTAAATTTCTGTACCATTTTGAAAGTGCCAGGGAGAATGACAGCCATCATTCACAGGAGTCAGTGTGACATCCCCTGCATTAATGGTTACCAACAGGTAGGTACACGACATTGACTGCTGTGCTTTCCCTCACCCAGGTTTTATTTTTGAACATGATCAATATTTAACTGAATACTTTGGTCCTTGGCTAGCATAAAATGAACAAATCCAACTCCTGTAGTGTCAGTCCATGCATGCAATTTGGATTGTTTCAATCAGAATTGAATAACCTGAATTGGATTTGATGCCCTGCAACTGGCAGAGGACTAATGAAACTAATGAAAGTGGCAGTTAGAGTCTAACAAATCATGATTATATACAGTGGGGAGAACAAGTATTTGATACACTGCCGATTTTGCAGGTTTTCCTACTTACAAAGCATGTAGAGGTCTGTAATTTGTATCATAGGTACACTTCAACTGTGAGAGACAAAAATCCAGAAAATCACATTGTATGATTTTTAGGTAATTAATTTGCATTTTATTGCATGACATAAGTATTTGATCACCTACCAACCAGTAAGAATTCCGGCTCTCACAGACCTGTTAGTTTTTCTTTAAGAAGCCCTCCTGTTCTCCACTCATTACCTGTATTAACTGCACCTGTTTGAACTCGTTACCTGTATAAAAGACACCTGTCCACACACTCAATTAAACAGACTCCAACCTCTCCACAATGGCCAAGACCAGAGAGCTGTGTAAGGACATCAGGGATAAAATTGTAGACCTGCACAAGGCTGGGATGGGCTACAGGACAATAGGCAAGCAGCTTGGTGAGAAGGCAACAACTGTTGGCGCAATTATTAGAAAATGGAAGAAGTTCAAGATGACGGTCAATCACCCTCGGTCTGGGGCTCCATGCAAGATCTCACCTCGTGGGGCATCAATGATCATGAGGAAGGTGAGGGATCAGCCCAGAACTACACGGCAGGACCTGGTCAATGACCTGAAGAGAGCTGGGACCACAGTGTCAAAGAAAACCATTAGTAACACACTACGCCGTCATGGATTAAAATCCTGCAGCGCACGCAAGGTCCCCCTGCTCAAGCCAGCGCATGTCCAGGTCCGTCTGAAGTTTGCCAATGACCATCTGGATGATCCAGAGGAGGAATGGGAGAAGGTCATGTGGTCTGATGAGACAAAAATAGAGCTTTTTGGTCTAAACTCCACTCGCCGTGTTTGGAGGAAGAAGAAGGATGAGTACAACCCCAAGAACACCATCCCAACCGTGAAGCATGGAGGTGGAAACAACATTCTTTGGGGATGCTTTTCTGCAAAGGGGACAGGATGACTTCACCGTATTGAGGGGAGGATGGATGGGGCCATGAATCGCGAGATCTTGGCCAACAACCTCCTTCCCTCAGTAAGAGCATTGAAGATGGGTCGTGGCTGGGTCTTCCAGCATGACAACGACCCGAAACACACAGCCAGAGCAACTATGGAGTGGCTCCGTAAGAAGCATCTCAAGGTCCTGGAGTGGCCTAGCCAGTCTCCAGACCTGAACCCAATAGAAAATCTTTGGAGGGAGCTGAAAGTCCGTATTGCCCAGCGACAGAAGGTCTGTATGGAGGAGTGGGCCAAAATCCCTGCTGCAGTGTGTGCAAACCTGGTCAAGACCTACAGGAAACGTATGATCTCTGTAATTGCAAACAAAGGTTTCTGTACCAAATATTAAGTTCTGCTTTTCTGATGTATCAAATACTTATGTCATGCAATAAAATGCAAATTAATTACTTAAAAATCATACAATGTGATTTTCTGGATTTTTGTTTTAGATTCCGTCTCTCACAGTTGAAGTGTACGTATGATCAAAATTACAGACCTCTACATGCTTTGTAAGTAGGAAAACCTGCAAAATCGGCAGTGTATCAAATACTTGTTCTCCCCACTGTACATGTATAGTGGATTTTAGGGTAAGGATGAATTGTGTTATGTCTATGGAGAATATCACTGAACCTTACTTGGGTTAGACCCAGAACATATTCCTTGGGAATAACTACCTTCGTGCTCTTGCTAATATGGCCCTATTATCAGATGCACTAATGTCAAAACATTGAGAAGTAACAAGAGAAAATAGTGTTTTCCTTAATGCCACCCCAGGGTGTTATTTGTAAGCAGCTCAATACTGCTGAAAGTATGTGTATTGTGTGGATGTACCTTCCCCACATGAAACCAATAAATATGTGAATCTTATGCTTCAGATCTATATGGTTGCCTGGACACGATCCCTTCAATGCCTTGTGCATACTGATTGTTAATTATCAATAGCTCATGAATACAGAAATTACAGATTATTTTCCATATAGTTTTAGATTACTTGTGAGAAAGGAAAATCAACCTTTGAAATTCTCATGTATGAACTCTATTGAACACATTTACATTTACATCATTTAGCAGACACTACTATGATATGATTGAAGCAGGTTGACTTTATTTTCATTAATCTTGCTCTGGAGGCAAAACTGAGTGATTTCCACTAGATGGGCCAGCTGCAAAGAATTGTAAAGAGTCATAAAAACAAAAATGTGCTTTTTGGTTTTAATTAAAGGTTAGGGTTAGGCATTAGGGTCAGCAATGTGGTTAAAGTTAGGTTTAAAATCTGATTGTATGACTTTGTGGCTGTGCCAACTAGTGACCACTCTGCAGAGCTGCCTCCAGGGCAAGATTCATGATGAGCAACGCTGCCCTGCATGATTGAAGGTTTTCCAAATTTTTTTCAGAGAAAACAAATGGACTTGCAGCAGGCAATTAGAATGGCAAATACAGAGGTAATAGGAATAGCGGGTGTCAAAGAAAATCCACAGTTCAATTTTAAATCGAACTAAATATTTGTTTAATTGTTGTTTCCTTCTGCCAAATCAATTTATCATGTTGAATGCATGAAATTGGAATGCTGATATGTGATATTGTTTTATTTCCTTCTTACTATGTTACACTTCAACATTACCAGTGACAAATTAGGTCAGCAAATTATACAGTGCATTCAGAAAGTATTCAGACCCTTAGATTTTTTCCACATTTTGATATGCTACAGCCTTATTCTAAAATGGATTAAATAAATAAAAAATCCTCATCAATCTACACACAATACCCCATAATGACAAAGCGAAACCGGTTTTTAGAAAAGTTTGCTAATTTAGTAAAATAATTAATATATATACCTTATTTACATAAGTATTCAGACCCTTTGCTATGAGACTCGAAATTGAGCTCAGGTGTATCCTATTTCCATTGATCATCCTTGAGATGTTGTTTGGAGTCCACCTGTGGTAAATTCAATTGATTGGACATGATTCGGAAAGGCACACACCTGTCTATATAAGGTCCCACAGTTGGAAAAACCAAACCATGAGGTCGAAGGAATTGTCCGTAGAGCTCCGAGACAGTATTGTGTCGAGGCACAGATCTGGGGAAAGGTACCAAAACATTTCTGCAGAATTGAAGGTCCCCAAGAACACAGTGGCCTCCATCATTCTTAAATGGAAGAAGTTTGGAACCACCAAGACTCTTCCTAGAGCTGGCCGCCCGGCCAAACTGAGCAATTGGGGGAGAAGGGACTTGGTCAGGGAGGTGACCAAGAACCCGATGGTCACTCTGAAAGAGCTCCAGAGTTCCTCTGTGGAGATGGGAGAAACTTCCAGAAGGACACCCATCTCTGCAGCACTCCACCAATCAGGCCTTTATGGTAGAGTGGCCAGACGGAAGCCACTCCTCAGCAAAAAGCCCATGACAGCCCGCTTGGAGTTTGCCAAAAGGCACCTAAAGACTCTCTAACCATGAGAAACAAAATTCTCTGGTCTGATGAAACCAAGATTGAACATCTATGGACTAAATGCCAATCGTCACGTCTGGAGGAAACCTTGCACCATCCCTACGGTGAAGCATGGTGGTGGCAGCATCATGCTGTGGGGATGTCTTTCAGCGACAGGGACTGGAGGACTTGTCAGGATCGAGGGAAAGATGAACGGAGCAAAGTACAGAGAGATCGTTGATGAAATCTGCTCCAGAGCGCTCAGGACCTCAGACTGGGGCAAAGGTTCACCTTCCAACAGGACAACGACCCTAAGCACACA